ATTTTACAGATGATACAAGCAGATGAACAAATCAAACAACTCAAAAACCAGCAAAAACAAAAATAATTGAATACAAAAACATGAGCTTCCGCAGCTACAACAGCAAAAGATGATTAAAACAACAAAAGATTACCAATACATGTACAAACAGATTAACAAATCAAACAATTCAAAAACCAGCAAAAGAAAAAATCATTAAATAAAGCTAAAACCCGAGCTTTCCACAGCTACACAAGCAAAATCATGATTAAAAAGCAATAAACCCTTACTAATATATGTCAAAACATGTAGAAATAGATGAACAAATCAAACAATCCAAATAACAGCAAAAAGAAAAATCATTGAATAATTCTGGCTGTTTTAAATACTCATGGGATATTTTAGACTTTGTTTTCCTTTCCCTCAAATTTCACAAAAATTCCTGCGTACAGCAGTCAGCTTATTCAATTCACAGGCAAGACGATACAGGGGATCATCTCCGGACTCCGATTAATTCAATCTTCTTGTTAACACCAATATAAGATACAGAATTTGGTGACTAACTTCCGAATACTAGTAACCACCAAGGCTTTCCAATTAAAATAATCAAGTCAGTTTCACAGTTGGCTAAAGCAGTCAGTCACTTGACAGAAAGCATTACCCACCAATACGAGTATACAGATACAGCAGGTGAGAAAAATTATTAGAAAATGATTACAGGTTGTCATGTTATAGAAAGACTATAAGCAACAAGTCATACTCATACTACAAGGCAATCGTTATACTATCTAATTGCCGATTTAGTAAAATAAAATAAAATAATTATTATGCTTTTTTGTAACGCATCAGCTTGAAATCAGATGGAATACTCCTTAATCATCATTCCAAAGATTCTTTTCATTTAAAGGGATGGAGAATGCAGGCACCAGCTAAACAATCTAAACTTCAAACTGCATATACCCTCATTAAGTCCTCCCAGGTCTACAACATTTGCTATTTCCAGTGTGGGATTTCCTTAAAGGAAAAGGAGTATTGAGGAAATGAACAGATAAACCATTTTAAATCGTGTATTTAAAAAAGGGAATCACATAAAAACATACTCAACAAATTCCCAAGCCAGACATCTGATGGCAAATATTTAGTGAATTTTTTTAATTTTTTTTTTGAGAAAGGTAACGTTCTTTTAGTGAAGTTCTTTTATTGAAGGTAATATCTTAGTGTTCAATAAGGGTCAATGCACAAAGAGTTACACCGTATAAGGTATAATAAAGAACACAGCAGTACACTAACACAAGTAAAAATATAGGAGGGGAAAATAGAGGAGCTTACGTTTGTCAGTGAAAACTGTATTCTCTATTTCTTCAGCTGGAGAAGTCTGAGTTCAAAAATCCTACAGAAGGTGTAGCAAGTATCCATTGTATTGGTTAAAACTATGAAAAAGCAAAGATTCAAATGAAGGTTGTATTCATAAAACCACTCTAGTTAACTAAAATGTTAAATGACAGCTTACTATGAGTAGAATATATATCAAAAAGCATATCTGTGGTAAAAGTGCAAATAACAGACATATGCCAGGGACAAGCATATATGTGGTTGATAAATTAGGTTAACTTTTTGGATTTTTTGATAATTCCTCAAGCTAGCTGCCTCTTTAGTAAACAAGGCTTTCGTGAAAAAGACATTGTCGCTCTTTATACTAAGCTACTTTAGTTTGTTCTACAAATTAAGAAACTGTTCTTTCTTGTTGAATTATTTTTCACTCACCTATTGAACAGGCTCTTTTTTACAAACTTCAACAACATAGAAGTCGCACAAGCAGGAGGATATAAACTTGAATTTTCTTTAATTTGACATGAAATATAATACTTCCAATACTAATTAAGCTGTCTAACATAAAAATTGCATAATGTGTTATTTTCATACACCATAAGGGAAAAAAAGGGAAAAGAAAATGAAATAGTATTCTAAAACAAATTCAGAAGTCTATCACAAGATATGCCATGAAAATTTCAGAAGTGTATCAAAGAATTGGGGAAATAAGAACAATTGAAGGGTTGTGCTTTTCCTAGTTTATGGTTCCCACAATTTTCTATTTTTCTGATTAGCCATTCACCATTGAGTTTTGTGGGTAAAATAGAGAGACCCAAAGCAGCAAAGTTGATTTTTTTTTCAATTCCTTGCCAGCAAAATACTCCCCATGCACCTTTGTTGTTTGTTTTTCTAGACCGTGAATTTCCTGGGAATATTGATTGGTGTAGTGATACTGGTGCCTCAGAATAAACAAAGTGGGTCATTCTTGATTATTGAGGTCCTACTTCCCCCACTCCAACTTGTTGGTTTTGCCCTCATTCCCACTCTTACCAGAACTGGTCACCGAACCCCTTTTCAACTTTAATTGACACATTTATTTCAGCTGTACTGTAAGTCTTTCTTCTTTTTGTCCATTTTGTACATCTTCATTTGCATTTTGGTTTATGAAAGCACTCATTCACATATGCATTACCAGTGTATGATCCTACCTATTATCTAGATATACCAAGAAAGATGTACGATCTAATGAAGCCACTATGAAATATTCACTCATGGGTGAGGCAAGCTGTTCTATCTATTGACGTTAATACAGACCTTCAGTAGATTCATAGATAAGCACTGTAACATTATAGTGGGACAAAGTCTTTCCATACTTCTTCGGAGTGAACGCTCATCCTAACTGATAAAATTCCTTACCATATAGTTCCACAATGTAGTAAAGGAGAAACGTGAAAAGAACAAACATGACCAACCAATTTTTTCCAGTCGAAATAAGTTACTGCTTTCAACTTATCCAGAGCAAACTGACTCATTTAGTGGTAAGCATCATCATACTCGCAGAAGCATAAATAGACTCATATATATAATTGGCTTCAACATAAGAAACGCCTATTTTGAGCTTACACCCCTTTAACATCCTAAGCTTCTCTCTTATTTTTCAGCCTATCCTAATTTCACAATTCTATTAGTCAAGTTTTTTGAAAGAAAGTCCGCTTTTGGCCCCGTTTTAGCTTTTAGGTACTTTTTCATCTTTTAAACGGGTTTTTATGTATTGCACCATGATAAATGACAATACAATCTGCTAGTTTTCTCACTAAACTTCTCTCCTATCTCTTCTCTGTTCTTCGATACCAATAATTTGCGATCAAAATTCATCAATTGAACCAACAATACAAACTATTCTACACATGATACAAACAGATGAACAAATCAAACAAAACGATCCGAAAATCAGCAAAAACATAGGTAATTAAATAACCCTAAAAATCAACTTTCTTCAGCAAAAAACCAATTAAAAAACGCTATGAAATCTTACCAATATATGTAGAAACACGCAACGAAAGCACAGATCTGCAACTATTCGCCCGAAAATGCAGAGAAATGAAGGAAGGAGAAAGAGTAATTAGGGTTTAGAGAGAAATTTAGATTTCGGGTCGAATGGTAAAGGGAAGTTTATTTGGGCCTCTCTAAGGTTCATCTCTAGGCCCAACACAAAGCCTGTTGAAATGTTTGCAAGGCCAAATTAATTGTTTTTCTTTGGGCGAAATGCACGAATACCTGATTTTGAGATTGTTGTTTAAGATATGATCAAAATTAAATATTGTATTTTTCGTAGAAATTACATTTAACCGAATATATTGAAATAATAAAAAAATGTATGAAGCTTGGAAAATTTTGAATATTTTAATTTGAAGTGTTATTTGTCAAAGATCAAACATCAAATATATTTGCATAAGATTTGATCTAGCATATCATAGGTTGATTTTAGACATTTTAAAAGAAAGTATTGTATTGATTAGGTTAAATTTTATACGTTATTTTATTAATGTTATATTATTAACTATGCCAAATGTGGTTGCACTTTAGATATATAATCGTTTTCAGTTCTTATTTCAAATGTTTTAATTAAAATTATAATATTGATAATGTAAAATTTTAGTTATTTGATACTGAAATTATGATTTTGATAAAGTCAAATTTCACGTATATTTTATTGAATTAGTGGTGTTGACATTATTAAACTTTAGACATGCACTTTATTTAGAGTAAATTTAAGTAACAAATTTTTGCTTCAGAGTAACTTGTTTTCTCAAATTTTCACGATCCATATACAATTTAACTTTAAGTGAATACAAATTTAAAATTTAAGTTTAAATATAATAAATAACAAATTTAAAATTGAACTTTTAAAAATAATAAAAAGATCTAACAAAATCGTATTGTAATAGTTTTAATTTATAATTGCTTTTGAGTTTTTTCAATAACATCTACCAATGTATTTTACTTTTCTTTTTTAGTTTGTTAAAAATAACATTTTTTTCTTAGAAAATCCTTTATTCAAACTATCCACTTGACATGTTTCAAATCATACTACATACATTTAGTTTGAGACTTCTTCTTTATCTTTTAAATTTTTATATCAAATTAAAATCGAATAAACAAATTAAAACAAAGACAATATATATTTACGAAAAAATACACAAGTACCCTCAACCTATTCTCTAAATTACAGAGCAAACTTATACTATACTGAGGTTCTGTTATTCCGAATTTATTTATTTTAAATAATTTTCTATCCCTTTGAGCCTACGTGGCACTAGCTTGAAAAAAAAAATGACAACACGTGTTGGACCCACAAGATAATGATACGTAGCTCGAAAAGAATATAAAATTATTCATAAAAATAAGTTCAGGAGTAATAGGACCTTAGTTATAATATAAATATGTCTTTAACATTTCGATCATAAATTAAAGGTATTTATACATTTTTCCTATATTTACACAATAACTAAGCAGATCAACACTAATAACAATCACATGTAAGAGTAATATTAGTGATGAAGATAAAAAGTAGAGTATATACATATCTTAGTTCTTATCTCACCGATTAAGTAAAATAATTATTTCCGAAAAATCTTGCAATGACTTAAGTAAAAGGAAAAATTAAAAAACGAACAATTTAATATCCGATGTTGTGACGCAGTCATCATACAAAATGATTAAGAGCCATGAGATTCGATTTTAAATTAGATTCTAATTTGAAATTCAAATTCAATGGAAAAGTTGATATGCAATTGTTCTTTCTAACTTTAATGCGATCAATAATCTATTAAATTAGTCGAAGATACGTGCAAACCGACGGGAACATCGCAAATTGTGCTCCTCCTTCCCGGGTTTTGGGTATTTCATAGGTTTCAACCGTACCAGATAGCTCGCGCCTCTTCTGATTATGCTTTAGCTAAATTCATCGAAAAAAAATGCGAACCAGAAATCAGGCAAAGCGACAGAATCAATCAACTGGTACGTTTCAAAAATCAAAACTGCATAAAAATTCAATTTTTTTTTGAGTTTTGCTTGTCATTTTGTAGTATTAGCACTGTTCTGGTGGTTTCTTGTTCTTCAATTTCGGTTGTCATCAGTGTTCTTGTGATTCAGTTATGACATTATTTCGTTGTTCTTAATGTTCTTCCTTCTTTATGTTGTGTAATGCTCTGCATTTCGTATTATTTCCTTCTTGTTACGGCTCCCATATGTGTAATCCTTTTATTTTAAAGCTTAGGTCTATTTAAAACAAATCTCTTTATGTTGTTGTTTATTGTTGTGTCTTCTTTTAAGTATGCACCCTTTTATCGGATTATTTCACATTTGTTTGCTAGTTTTCTTTGTGATTTCACTTTAGTAATTGATTGACCACAGCAAAACATAACCAAGAATGGATAAAAATTCTATCTTTGATTATTGTTTCTCCTTTTTTGTTTGCTTTTCTGTCTTATTTAACCACCCTTTATCTGTTTATGTCACATTTGTTTGCTAGGTTTCTTTGTGATTCAGTTTAGCATCTTATTAACCAGAGCTAAACATAACAAAGGATGCATAAAATTTTTATGTTTGACTATTGTTTCTCATTTTTCATTGGCTTAATACATAAACATACACTAACACTTGGCCTCAACTGGCTAGTAAGTGTTCTAACTTGGAGAGTGTACACCTAGACACCTCAACTTGGTCTCAACGGGTAGCTGACTACTTCAACTCATCCCCTTTCTTGTGGACACCGGATGTTGACATGGCATATAGATTTTGGAGGTGTCTTTGTAAGTTGGAGTGTTTAACTGACCTAGTGGAGATGAGTTGAGATGTGCATACTCAAAGTTGGAGCATTTACTTGCCAATTGAGGACAAGTTTGAAGGTTTATCTATGTGTTATGCCTTTTTAGTTTATTTATCCTATTCTTTAACTATCGGTTTAAGGGATTATTTGTTCCATGTTTTTCTTTGTGTTTCAGTTTAGCAAATGTTTAACTACATAACATTACAGCAAAACATAACCAAGAATGCATATAAAGTTCCATCTTTGATTAATGTTTCTCATTTTTGGTTAATTTTATCCTATTCTTTGATTTCCCCTTTATAGGATTATTTCATCTTTGTTTGCTAGTTGTCAATGTTATTCAGTTCATCAACTGGTATGTTTTCGTTAATTACACAACATGCCACCAAAAACACAACCAGACTGCATAAAGTTTCAATTTTTATATTTTTGTTACACATTTATTTGCTTTTCTAGTCGTTCTTACAATCCTCTTTTCAGGTTCATTCATCTTTCTTTGGTAGATATCTTAGGCTTTCTGTTTATCAAGTGGTATTTTTTCTTTAACCAACATCACAACACCAAAACATAAGGAAGAATGCATACAATTCAATCTTGGATTCTTGCACTTATTCTTTTAACTGGTCTCCCTCTTCAACTATCCCTCTATTGGATTCATTTTTTTTTTTGGTAGCGCTTTCTTGGTTTGGGTTATAGCTTTGAAAAAGCTTGTGGTTGAAGTGAAAAAATGAGTGGGTTCTCAATAGCCGACCATCTGAGGCATGTTTCTTTATTTTCAATTGATAACATGTGTATTTTGATGATAAGTAATTTCTGTTTGTCTGCATGAGTGGTGTCTTACTAGAAGCGAACATTCACGAGCTTTGCAAATGACTAGTGACCACTGATTAAAAAGGAGAAGATCAATATGCTTATGCATGGACTTGTGTTATGTGCTAGTTTGTTTGTTCCATTACCAGAGCGCACTGAGGTCTGGTTAACTTATATGTTCCATTTTGGACAGCAAGTGAAGACTCTTTGAAACACTATGGTGAGAAAGAGAGCCAAAGCGGCTGCAAAGACGAAGCCAGTGGCAATGGTTTGTTCCATTGCAATTGTTCATTATTAATTAATATTTTAAAAATCTTAATAAGTAATTTAATATGGACTAACAATAATAGTATAGATTTGAGTACTTTAAGATTGAAACTACGTTATGAATAGAATGCTTGATTTCAGAAACTCTGGCAAACATATCTCGAGGTGCAGTGGGGAAACTTCTGAAACGAGTCAACAAGTCACGTGGCTCTCGGGGTCTGAAAACAGATGATAGTTACCTACGCAAACAGGATACCATCGTCGAGGTTTGTTTCTTTCTTGATCTATCGCTTCAGTTAGGCAATGTACCGAGTGAAACATTTCCTGCTGGAAGAAGTCTCTTTTTTTCGTAGTGCTGAATAATCATATGTGGTTTGCACGTGTTTTGACGATGACTTAGGTATGAACTGCATTTTATAATCTATTTCTTAATTTCTATTATGTTATATATGTTTAGCCAGAGAATGGATCAAGTGAGGCAGAAAAGCAGCTTACTGGTACTACAGTTGTAAGGACTACATTAGATGCTAAATGCTGCACTACAGATGTGTTACAAAATGTGCCATCGGAAGTGGAACATGGAAGTACAGATGTTCAGTGTCAGAGTATTGAGAGGGAAGATGAACTTGATGGTATTGATTGGGAAGATGGGCCAGTTGATACTTTGAAGTCTGAAAGCAATGTTAAGGAAGATACAATCAATGGTGTGACTGTTGAGTTTGATGCTCCGCCTGATCCTAGTAAACAGAAGACAGTACGCCGAGCAACTGCACAAGAAAAGGTGGTTTGAATATGATAGATATATGAATACCATGATATAAGATTTTAGTCCCTTGTTGGAAGTACATCAATTTATACTTTTCCTCCTTAAATTACAGGAATTGGCTGAGCTTGTGCATAAGGTTAACTTGCTTTGTTTACTAGCAAGGGGCAGGTTTGTAGATAGCGCTTGCAATGATCCTCTTATCCAGGTTCTTTCTTATGCCTGTAGTTTGATATTCTAACTAGAATAATCATCTGTCACCTTTCTTTTTGTTATGGACTCATGGTTGTTATATGTGTTGAACTTCAAAATTGTGTAAATTTAAAATCTCTATATAATTCTACAACATATGATCACTGGGAACTTTGTGCCTATGCTTACATACTCTCAGATAATTTCAGTTTATCATATGTTTTTCCGGAAACTCTCATTTATTTTGACATTAATCTATGACCTTTTCCCCCCAAAAAAAACATTAATATTTGACTTAGCATGCCATACCTCTTATGTGTGCATGATATGGAAATACTGGCGAGCTTTTGACTTTTGATCGTTTGCTCCAAGTACTGATACTTATACTATATAAGAAATCACTTACTTTTGCCAGGCTTCGTTACTTTCACTGCTGCCTGCACATCTGCTGAAGTTGACCGATGCTCCAAAACTTACTGCAAAGGCACTAGCTCCTCTTGTCAATTGGGTATGTGTTACATGTTATCATTATAACTACCCTTTGATATAGAAGTTTCATTTTCTTATTTCACCTTTTACCACTGGATGCAGATCCATAGTCATTTCCGTGTTAGAGGTGCAAATGATATGGAGAAGCCATTTCATTCAGCTTTGGCATCAACTCTCGAGTCCCAGGAAGGGACCCCAGAAGAGGTATGTTTTCCTTTTATAAGCGTTTCCTCCTTTGTTTTGCTTGTTCTGAGCATAGCTTTTTCTGTAACATTGCGTGCTCTCTTGGGAATTTCCTGTGTAATGGATTAAGGCTACCCTGACATTTGACATGTTTCCTCTACATCACATGTTTACTTCTCTGCCCCATCATATATTTGCATCTTCTTGCTTTAGGATATGAATAGGGGTGGGTATAATTCACCGAAAATCGAATTACCGAGCAGAACCGAGAAATTTGGTGATTCACTAACTGGTACTATATTCAGGATTAAATTTCAGAATTCTGGTAATCAATTTTGATACCCGGTTCCAGACAAGTCAGTACTACCGAATGCCACAGTATTTTAATCTATTACAGTTTTCCAATTACAGACATCACTTACTCTTATTTCGGATTATCTATTTAGCTCAAGTGGTGGTATGATGCCTTAAATAAAGTAAAGATTCACAGTCAAATGACTCTGATAACATGTCAGTTTTTCTTGTTTGTGATTATAACCAATCAAGTTCTCTCGCTCTAATCTTGTGTACAATGTTCAATAATTTTTACTTTCTATTTAGAAAATAGTCTCTAATTAAGGAGCCAGCAGCACAGTTATCAACAAGTTAAATTTTAATGCTTCAGAGAGTTAATATGCTCGTTGTTTATTCAAGGTCACTGTCCTATTTAAATCAGTCAGTATCCTCATAGCTATTTCTTTCCATTTAAACCTTTCTATACTCTCTGTGCGCCTATTAAATATAGAAAATTTTTGAGGGTAAAACAAGCTGTTGGCAGAAATATAATTAATGGACAGTGGTAGAGCAATCCAGACTTTAAAGCAGGACCTGTTGAGTGTTTAGAAGAGTTAATGTGAGTGAAACAAATTAGGCCAACCAAAAAGTGGGGGGAGTACCGGAGTAGTAAAAAAGAGTTGTGGCCTTGTAAAGGTGAAGTCTATACATAATTGCCAACTTACTGTACCGGGATTTACCATACCGAGGTTTGATTTACTGTACTGGACTGAACTTTGGAAATTTCGGTATTTGGTATCTCCTATCTACTATCAATTACCGATTATCGAAAATTAACTTTGAAAATACTGAACAGAATTCCGAATGCCCTCCCCTAGATATGAATCAGATGGTTGGAGACTAGGTTGCATAGACACAAGCAGTCTTATAGTGACAGGAGATGGTAATGAATAATGATGGTTGCTGGCTTGCTGCTGAAGAAAATGGTTTTACTTCTGCTTTTCTGCTGAAGTCACCAAATTAGCTTGCAATTTCTTGTAATTCAGGCACAGTAATTCATTGCAGATCCGCTTGTGGAAGTTTCTCAGACAACTTTTTTTGTGTTTGTTCAATTAGAAAGTTCATAAGTTTGTTCTTTGCCCTTTTTGTCTTTAAAAAAAAATAAAAATAAAGAAACTATGGTCATTTAAATATGGTGTAATATCATGGTTAATTGCTTAACCTTTGGAACCTACCTATTTAAAAACAGAGTTGGAGACTGTCCAGACATCTTAATCTTGATTGAAGAAATAATGTTCAGTATTTGGCCCATTTATCTTAGAACAATTTTTTTTTTTTGTTATTACAGGTTGCTGCATTATCTGTGGCCCTGTTTAGGGCCTTGAATCTTACGACCAGGTAAGCTGCTACTTTCTTATTCTTATTACAGCTAAATAGCCTCTATTGTTCTTCTACTGACTGTTTTATTCTCCGTTACTCTGGCTTCTTAATGACGATCATGCGTAAATTCTCTAAGTCCTGGATTGTATACCATGAGGATTCATTTAAATGTGCAAGTCAGTGGGAGGGAGTTAAGCTGTGTAGAGCAGTCAAACTCTGAAACTATCTCAAGTCGGTTGAATTATTTTTATGACTTGTATTCCCCAGTTGGTAATAAGTGAGTTCTGTTTCCCATTTTCCTGTTCATATTTAGTTAGTTGCTAGAGCTATTGCATAGTGATGTTAACACATCTGTCAACGAATTGACTATTGTTGGAGTAAGGAAGTGCATAAATTTACCCTAGCTAAGTGCTGACAATTCAAGTTACCCTGGTTTTTGACATATTTGTGGAAGTCCCCTTCTGCAGACTTTTATTTTGGTAACAAGCAGCATGGTCTAGGAAGTTAGGTGACTATCTTGCATTAGAACTTCTCTTGTACAGGTTCTTTACTGTATTTCAAACATGAAAACCCCCTGGTGGTAGGTACACCAAAAGGACAATTTAAGCTGCTTATGTTTTCTATTCTCGATATTGCAAGCATTATGAAAGCCCCAAAGATTGCAAGTTTTTAATCTCATGACAAATTACCTTCAAGATATCTGAAGATATTCATTGCAGGTTCGTATCAATCTTGGATGTGGCTTCTTTGAAGCCTGAAATTGAGAAATCATATCCCTCTGGTAAAGGCCCTAGTAAGGCTGGTAGTGGGATATTTAGCTCTTCAACATTGATGGTGGCTGGACCAAAGTGTTCTCCTCTCTCTCCTGCTAAATCTATGGCTTATGGCAAGCACAATGTTTCTGATAAGACTTCAACATCTGCTGGCCAAGCTACCAATGACAAGTCTAGAGAAACTATTACAGATAAGTCTAATAAAAGAATGTCAGCATCGACATCAGATGCTCAGGGTGATTCTAATGATGCATGTATTAAAAAAAAAGAGCAGCCAAAGAGAAAAGGGGACCTTGAATTTGAGATGCAGTTGGAAATGGCTCTTTCTACGACCGCAGTTGAAATTGCTAGGAACACTATGATCTCAGATGTGAAGGATGTAGGAAGCACTTCATCAAATGTATCACCTTTCAAAAAGAAGAAAATTAAAGCAGAAGAGTGTTCAACTTCCTCTCATGGAATATCAACTGCTGTTGGATCTAAGAAAGTAGGGGCACCTCTATACTGGGCAGAGGTCTACTGCAGTGGTGAGAACCTGACTGGGAAGTGGGTGCATGTTGATGTTGTAAATGCAATCACTGATGGAGAGCAAAATGTGGAAGCTGCAGCAGCTGCATGCAAGTTGCCTTTAAGATATGTTGTTGCTTTTGCTGGAAATGGAGCTAAAGATGTGACACGCAGGTTCTAGTTCGCATTGCTTTGGTGTTACGAATTTCATTGAGTGCTTTTGTTTCTCTTAGGTTTACTTCTGTTAGACATAGTTTTATGTATACTCTTAAATCATTTTATCTGCAGCATTTATGCTTTCATTTTTTATGGTTTGTCCATCTTGATTTACTCCTTAGTTTCATTGCTATATGATATTATAACATACCCTCAATCATTATTTCACACACAGAATCTTAAACCATTTGTGTCTTTCCCTTGTACCCCTTCCCTACATAGAGGAGATGCAAACCATGAGTTTTGGGTTTCTTTTAAAATTTTTCAATTAATCATCATAGTCTTCATCCAATACCCCACTTGTGGGATGTGATCGGGCATGTTGTAGTTGAATCATTAGTCCTCATCATTTTGCTTATGACCTAAAGTACTGTTATTATTATCATTACACTTTATTTTTGCTTTGCTCTTAAAACTCTGATAGACCTGGTGCACTTTCTAACGCTTTTCACCTTTGATGATATTGGATCAATCAGAAGTTTTTAAATTAATTGGAACAGTCTGTAAGAAGGAGATAAACTGAGGGATACTTATGCCCAATATGTCTTTCGATTTTCTTGTCAGGTACTGTACAAAGTGGTACAAGATAGCATCTGAACGAGTCAACTCAATTTGGTGGGATGCAGTATTGGCACCATTAAAGGAGTTGGAGTCGGTTGCCACCAGTGATGTAGTTCATTTTGCACAAGGAGGTAATGATTGCCTGCTGTATATGCGTGAACATAGTGATAGAGAACTCTTGAAAAATTCTTTACAGGGAATTCTTTTACAGCAACCAGGAGCTCTCTCGAAGACATGGAGTTGGAAACAAGGGAACTGACTGAACCTCTTCCAACAAATCAACAGGTAATAAACACAAATATTTGCTAAAATGTGACTACGTTGTACGGACAATATATTTGGTTTGAACTATTTTTTTCTGCAGGCTTACAGAAGCCATCACCTATACATAATTGAAAGATGGCTTAACAAAAATCAGATACTCTACCCCAAAGGACCTGTATTAGGTTTTTGTTCTGGTCATCCAGTATACCCACGATCTTGTGTACGAACACTCCAAAGAAAGGAAAGATGGCTTCGCGAGGGGCTCCAAGTGAAAGCTAATGAGATACCCGCAAAGGTTTTATTGCACATAAATCTTTTGTGTGTCTGCATTATTATTTTTGATTATCCTCTTCTGCGCAAGTACCATAACCTGCGAGTTTACGCTCAGGTTCTGAAGCGTTCCGGAAAGCAGAACAAAGGACATGATGTTGAAGATGATGATTATGGCGAGGGAGATTGTGAAGGAACTGTCGCTCTCTATGGACAGTGGCAAACTGAACCACTGTTTCTTCCTCCTGCAGTAAATGGCATTGTACCTAAGGTGAAGCCTTCTAAGTGATACACATGTTGATAAAGTTGAGATATATTTGGGATTTGACGTTTTATGCTAAATTATAAGCTATAAGAAAATAAGATCAATATTTGTTTGGAACCATGCTTAGATAAACTATTTTCCGCTTTTCCCATCTGAGAATCTCCATCTGCTCTAAGTGGGTGCATGCTAGACTCTTATGATAGTATGATTGTTCAAAAGATTGTCTATTTTCCCTTTGCATCTTCAACTTTCCAAACGCCCAGAGCTGCATCAATCCTATTTCGGGTTCAGAGCCTCTCCAGTAAGGATTCCTTTAATCCTTTCACAACATCATGTAAAGCTCTGGATTTCTTTTGACAGATCCATAGCATGTAAACCTTGTTGATCCATCTACTTTATGCATCTTTCATATAGCTATTTCTCATATCTGCGTATTCTCCTCCTGCTCAAGAATATTTCGTTTTCAATAATGAGTTACAGACAGAGGCATCTGCCATTATTTGAGTCGGGACAAATTTTTAATGTCTGCCGAACTTCCCATGATCTTATGTCTTAGCTACTGGTTGTTCCCATGATCATTATTCCCTGTGCCTCGGGATTTCTCTCCCAGCTAAGATAATTTCTTTTTGCCTTTGCCTCCTGACCTTATAAACATGGTGAAAAACAACTTCAGGATTTTGGAGATTAAACACTTGAATGACATGGATACGTTATTGTGCCCATATAAGGGAATCGATTTTTATAGAGTTTCAGTAAAATTTGTTTATAGTTAAAGGCAATACGTTAACATCCTTTAGGTGTGCTTAATTACTCCAATTGTTCATTTGCTATTCGGAACTTTGAAATCTCTTCTTGCTAGAAATGTTAATTAAACTGATCTTAGGTTCGTTTGTTGGCTTCTTGAGATGGTTTTACAGAGCAGTTGCTTGAGAAGGTTATCTGTCCCTGTTAACACATTCTACATGTTATGTTTAGATGTGCTTCTTTTCATATATGTAGCAGATAGAATAATTGGTTACGACATTTAGCTCAGTTTTTTGATTTGTTTGCCGATCTTGTCTTTATGGTTGTTTTTGGCTAGAATGTGATAGTTGCTGTTTTTTTTCCCTAGAATGAGCGAGGTCAAGTGGATGTCTGGTCCGAGAAGTGCCTTCCACCCGGTACAGTCCATTTGAGATTGCCAAGGTTGGTTCCTATTGCTAAAAGGCTGCAAATAGATTTTTCACCTGCTATGGTTGGATTTGAATTCCGAAATGGTCGATCTCTACCTGTTTATGAGGGGATTGTGGTGTGTACCGAGTTCAAGGATGCAATTCTTGAGGTAATTAAATTGCATTAACTGTAATATATTTTCATCGCTTGGTTACATATCTTTGAGGTCTCCCCCACCAATCATGTTTTCGTTCTTCATTCCTCAAAACCTTTTTGTTCAAATGCTATCAAATAAGTCCAAAACCGTTACTGCATTTGAAGCACTCTGGTAGAACTACTGTTGAATTTGTTGAGATGTTATCAGGCATATGCAGAAGAAGAGGTGAGAAGAGAGGCCAAAGAGCGGAGGAGGACTGAAGCAGAAGCTCTTTCTAGGTGGTATCAGCTTCTTTCATCACTTATTACCCGACAGAGGCTGCACAATTGTTACGTAGACGGGGCATCCTCACAATCAGCAGTCAATATTGCAACATCCAACGATAAATCCTCCTTACTAGCTGGTGGCAGTGAGAACACGAGGAGCGCTCGTCAAGAAAAATCTGAGATAGCCAAATCTAATAGTCCACCATTTGTACTTGCAGAAAACCATGAGCATGTTTTCTTTGTAGAAGATCAGACTGTTGATGAAGAAAGTTCAACAAGGACGAAACGATGTCGTTGTGGCTTTTCAGTTCAATATGAGGAGTTGTAGAGCTTTAAATCTCTCAATTTTAGTATGAGAAATTAGAGAACTTTTTATTCTCATGCAAAGTTGGGTTGTAAGTTGAAGTTGATAGAAATACTAATGTATGATTGTATGTAACATCAGATCATGACAACAATCTGTCTTTTTGTATAATATCGGTTTGGGATGAGCTTAAATAATGCGATATGGTAACTAGTGAGTTTTTGAGCCATGTGTATGCCTCCCACTATTGTCCTAAAAAGGACAATCTAGTGAGTGAAGATTCATGTAGTGAAGATTCATATGACTGACCTCGACTTACTTGAAATCAAGACGTCATCATTGTTTATGAACCATGTGTATGCCTCCCACTATTGTCCTAAAAAGGACAATTGTTTATAAACCATGTGTATGCCTCCCACTATTGTCCTAAAAAGGACAATCTAGTGAGTGAAGATTCATATGACTGACCTCGACTTACTTGAAATCGAGACGTCATCATTGTTTCTGAACCATGTGTATGCCTCCCACTATTGTCCTAAAAAGGACAATCTAGTGAGTGAAGATTCATATGACTGACCTCGACTTACTTGAAATCGAGACGTCATCATTGTTTCTGAACCATGTGTATGCCTCCCACTATTGTCCTAAAAAGGACAATCTAGTGAGTGAAGATTCATGTAGTGAAGATTCATATGACTGACCTCGACTTACTTGAAATCGAGACGTCATCATTGTTTATGAACCATGCGTTATGCCTCCCACTATTGTCCTAAAAAGGACAATCTAGTGAGTGAAGATTCATATGACTGACCTCGACTTACTTGAAATCGAGACGTCATCATTGTTTCTGAACCATGTGTATGCCTCCCACTATTGTCCTAAAAAGAACAATCTTTTTGCAGTTTCAGTTACTTATTGGAATAAGCAACTGTTACAACAATGTAGAACATTACAACAGATAAGTTACAACCATGAATTTGTTGTAATAAATCAAGATTTTAAACTCAAGTGGGGACCTTAAGCAACTTTGACAAAGACATTACCAATTCATAGGATACTTTAGAAGATATGATAGATAATGTCATGGACAAAGACTATCTACATTTTTTTTGTACATATGATGTTTTTGGTTCACATAACATGTCACAAATCCACTTTCCCACAGTCTCCATTTATATATCAATTCCTTATCCAAATATTCTCTTTTCTTTCACCTTCACTTCCAGCACACACTCACTTTATTAGTCAACCATCAAACACCACAACTGATTTTTTATCAACATAAAGAACAGGATCACTTGTAGAATTAGAATTGTTGACAAGACAATAATCTATTTGGAGAGTTGACAACAACACTGGGGGCCAATATAGTTAAACTAAGAATAAGAATCAAGTGTCAGAGAAAATAAACCTGATCTAACTCAACTTCAAAAGTTAGCTCGTAAAATGAAGATTGTCCAAACTATATAAAGACAACAATCCATTCCCTTAACCAATGTAGGACATTTCAATGGATGATAATAGGATTAAGAATTGAACAAGTGCATCCTCTTCTAACAAGAACTACAAATAAAACACCAACCAAGAAAAAAAGAAGACTAATACAACATAACAAAGCCAAATGAAGTAATAACATCCCACAAATTTTCAGTGTGAATCTTGAATCAACAAGAATTAAACAAGTACACACACTTCTAACAATCTATATTTCTCAGCTACAAGAATTACACACAAATCACTACAAATACAACATCAACCAAGAAAAACTTGAGACATAACACAGTCATTGAGAGTCATCACCATCAACAAAGTCAACAAATCTTCAGCTTCACTTTACACCATTCTGTGCTGGCTGTGGCTCAACTTCCCTATCTACTGTGAATCGCGAATCAACAAGCATTAAAACAAGTACAGGATCTCCTAACAATCTACATTACACAGCTAGAAGAAACACAACCCCTTACAACTACAACATCAACCAAGAAAACTTAAAAACACAACAGAGTTATAAAAGTCGTCACCATCAACCAAGTCTGCGGATTTTCAGCTTCACTCTAAACCATTTTGTGGTGGCTGCGGCCTAATCTTCCTAGGCCTACCTCTAGGCCTTCCGGTTTTCGAAACAGGAGCTAAGTCACTAGGGACACTTGTTGGTTTTGGTTTCTTGGGAGTAGGTGGTGCATTGGGGTCTTTTTTCGGGCGACCTCTTGGCTTTGGAGCTGCAATATCTGTTCCTTGTGGCAATATAGGTTTGGGTTTAGGTGGTCGGCCGCGGCCACGCTTAGGGGGTGCATCTGGACCAGGTTTAATGTAGTTGTTTTTTAGGAAAATAAGTTCACCAGTTTGTTTCATTCTATCCAAATGGTAAGTTATCAACTTTGAGTGTGCATCATTCATGTTTCCATACTTAGATTCAATGTACTTTGATATTGATGACTTGTTTGAGCCTTCTTTTTGTTGCAATGCATCAAGGGCTTCATAAATCATCTGATAATTAAAAACCAACATACCAAAAGTTGAGTTTTTTTTTTTAATGAAATAAATAATTTTCAAAAAAGAAGACAGACATGCAGATCTGTGTTTAAAAAAAAAAAAGCATTCTTGATGATCATGTGATCATGTGGAAGCCATTAAAGAAGTAAAAAAAAAAAGCAAAAAATTAAGAACTAGACAAAAGTTGTTCCTGTATCTTTAATAAACTGTTCTTTATTTTCTCTTTTTTCCCAAGTTTTCTTGGGATTCCAAATCTCATTTTTGGCACTAACAAATGCAAGAATCTACACTTTCAAAAATCCAAAATTCAAGAAAAATCCAGTTGTATTGCACAAAAGTTACAATTTTGCTTGAAAAAAATGATTACTTGTTTTTCTTCCTTCTTAGTTTTTAGTTATCAAAGATTAAATCTTTCTTCCAAAATCAACATAAAAGGAATCAACTTGAGTTAAAAAAAAAAAAAAATTGGCAATATACTTTGTACTCTCTCAATTTCAATTTATTTGTCTGATTTTATTGATATAAAATTTAAAAAAAAAACAAAAAAAACTTTTGAATCTAGTAGTCTTGAACTGAAGCAGCATAATATCTCATACATGTCACGAGAAAAATTAAATTTAAATTGTTGTCAAAACCAAAAAAGATATAGTTCTTTTTAAACTAGTACTTAAGTTTCTGAAATATGCATACTTCATGTAAAACTAAACAAAGAAAGAAGGATCAGAATTCATGCTGAAAACATAAAAAAAAATGTTTTTTTCTCCAATTTCTTCAAAAGTTCAAATCTTTCTACTAAAACCAAGAAAAAAAACAACACCCCATCTGGTATAATGTGAAAAAGAGTCAAATTTTTGAGAAAAGAATGAACATAGAACATGATTTTTAGCAGAAAAAAATCAATGAAAATTAAAGGGGTCAAAGTGAAAATAAAAAAAATTGGTATATTTTTTTTTACCTGAGGGTATTCAGGATGAATCTTGTTGACAAATTCAGTAGCCATTGAAACTTGCAGAGAGAGAAAGAGAGAAATGTCCCCACAAAGAGATGGAGAGAGAGAGAGAGAGTGAGGACAATGTCAGCTTCAATAGCACAGTGAATAATTTGCTACTTTACTAGTACTAAAGAAATTAAAAATATAAAGAGAGCTTATCCACAAAGAAATTCAAATAAAAAAATACTTTTCGTTTTAATTTAATTGTCGTACTTTATCTTAATTGACCCTAAAAAGATAGTACTTTTTTATATGAGGTTGAACCTAACCAATTTCAATTGGCTTACGAATTTTGAGGGGTGGCGGGGAGGGGGGGCTCCGAGCCGGGTGGTCCAGGTAATCGGTTCAGGAGTGACGTGACACTATCGGATTGGTCGGGGCCACCGATAGTCCAACTAAGACTGTGTGGGTCCAGTTTTGTGATATTCTACCCTGTGTTCAGTAAAATTAAGACTCTTAAATGGAAACGAGGGAGTATAGAGAAGAAAAACAATGTTAGTAATTTTTAGAAGGAGATGATGAGAGGCTTAAGGTTCATGCATTGGACAAAAATCCAACTGTTGTAAATCTTTGTTGTAGCATTGAACTGAGTTTTATCTGTCATTGGACTAACAATATATTTATCAGAAATCTGCTTTGTATATAAGAAGAATAAAGTGTTGCTTTAGACTTTTTATACATTGATAAAAATATCAATGATCCAAAGATACAAACAAGTTACATAGCATGAAAGGATGAAATCAGTTTGGCATTTTTTTTTCTAATGTAAGTAGAGCTTATGAACTATTTTTTTTTTTACAGGACGAATATCGATTAGTCCCTTCATCTAGATATCTACAGTATTGAGTTACGGGCACCTTCTAATATGTCCCATTGTTGTCATCTTGACTCCCTACATCCCCTGGTGACACTTCGTCCACCATGAACCTCCAGCTATCTCCCTCTCCTATTTCCCATTGTCTTTTCAATTCAAGAATGGTTTTAGATGCAGCAGCTGCAATGGCAGGGTTGTCATCTTCTGCTAGTCTCTATGGACACATAACAAAGCCTTCCGTCAGTGTTGAATAGCTTCAATAAGAGAAAGTGTAGTTGATGGAAATTGTATGATAAGACATCAGTTTCCTATACAAATTACCTGTAACGCTCCCATGCCAGCGTTTCCTAAAGTCCACATGGACGGTGCAGCTGCAAGTGCATTTGCTAATGCTTTCCTGCACGATGAAATTTACAGGTGTTCGAGTCATACAGATCTAAAATGACTAATACTGTATCAATCAAAACAAGTAAAAGACAAATAAAACAAATGAGGATAGTAAAACGCCTTCATCTTCGTCTCAAGATGATACAGATTCAATCTTTAGGAGCCTCCTAAGTTCAATAATTTCTTAACTAATAAAAATTGAGGTTGAATTTAAGCTGGAAATAACAGTTAAACTACATCCGTTTCAATTTGTTTGTCTTACTTTCCTTTTCAGTCCGTTTAAAAAAGAATGTCTATTTCCTTTTTATTGGCAACTCTTTGGGTTAAAAGTTTCACGTGGCATGCTTAAGAACACAAGATTAAAAGACATTTTGGTACATTCTACTACGTATCTTTAGTTTAAGACACAAGATTCAAAAGTTCTCTTTGTTTTCTTAAACGCGTGTCAAGTCAAAACCAGACAAACAAATTAATGCCTCAGTATCATCCAAAACGAAGTGCAGTTGATTTTAAGGGGCAGAAACACTATTTTGGGAGCCTCGAG